ATAAGTCATGCTCGAATCCAGCCTCATCCACAAAGAAATGGAGCTGGATGCCCCCAACCCCTTCCGAAATTCTTAGCCTTCTCTGGTACCCTCATTTTCTAGGTAGGTCTTTACAGGAACTCAGAGAGAAGTTTCAGGCTTACGTCCCTGCCTCTCAAATCGTCTCATTTCAAAGCAGCTCTTGTGTCCAGAGCCCAGGAGGGTCATCCTAACACCACCGCTGCTCAAACGACCTCCTTTGTGCCCGTCGCATCCTGTGCCATCGTTGATGATGACGTGGACAGCCTCTCCTTGTCGTCCCCCGTCCCCCCCGCCTCCCTAGACCTAAAATCCACTTACTTTACAGGCTTGGTGTAGAGGATATTACTGGGCGCTGGGCTGCTTTCGTAGCTTGAAGCGGGTCCAAACTCGGAGACCGCAGGTTCCAGCCCGAATTCAAGGGCTCCAAATTGTACGTTTAGGCCCGAAACGTCCGTCGATCCAGGCATTTCCACCGCAGATGAAGGGATCTGAAAAGGGACACAGCAAGTTTGTAACCAGGAATGCCAGCTGGGGAAAAGGAACATTTCCTGTTTAATGCATTTATCAACTGTGATTGGAAAGGATCTGTCAGACCTGCCTCAACTTGGGTCTTCTAAGTCAGGGGGTCAGCAGTGGTCTGTGGCGTGGCAGAAACCGGGCCAGGCAAACAAGCAAACATGTCTCCCCTGGTCCCCAGAAAAGCCTCTCTCCACAGAACTGGTCCCTGGTGCCTTCACTCCATTTGTTGACAAATGTATAGTTTATTAGAAGTCAAGTGAATTATGGTACAGGTAGTACCATAAATATGACCACCATTTCTCACTTGCTCAGTGAGAAATTTGTTAAGTGAGTTTTGCCCCACTTTAAAACTTTTCTTGCCGCATTTGTTAAGCCAGGGGACCCCAAACCTGGCAACTTTAAGACTTGTGACACTGCGATGCTGGCTGGAGAATTCTGGGAGTTGAAGTCTTAAAGTGGCCAAGTTTGGGGACCTCTGCGTTAAGAGAACCATTGCAGTAGTTGTTAGGAATATAAGTCACCTAACAGGTATTTGGGTTAGAAATATATAAACCAGGATGAACGTTTTAAAACTGTAACTTTAAGAAAATGCAAAACTGTAATTAGGTGTGGTTTCTCAAACGGCCATAAGATGGAGGCAGAAACCTGGTTTGTCTTAGTCTGAGTCTCAGAAGAGAGTCTGAGTAAGTCTCTGTTTCCTTCTGTTGGAAAATATTGCCGTTGCTCCATTTCTTCTAATTGACTGATATTACCGGATTTAATGTAAGTCTGATACTGAACTGTTTTTGACACTGGACTTTGATAACTGGATTAACCCTGGGTTGAAAAACTGACTGATTTACCTGTGAATGACTTTTGGACTGCTTATCTTGAACTTTGCTTAAACCTTTCTGGAAGTAAAAACCTACATTTACAGTACAGTGTATCTGTGTGCTCTGTGTGTATATTATTTAAACACTCCTCTCAAATACGTCTCCCTGTATGTGCTCATTCTCCTGACGGGGAATTACCTCAGCAGTAGTTAAACTGATAACCTGCTTGTTCAGTGAATATGGATTTCCCCACCGATTTTGCCTGTTAGAAGGACACAAAAGGGGGAATCACGTGACTCCTCAGATGATCCGGTAAAATGGGACAGGCTGTCAGGCTCGTCTCGACTTGAGCCACGAGGAAAGAAAGACCCTCGACTCCCTTTTTGAAAGGAAAGGTTTACTTTTCCTAAAGCCAAGCGGTTAACGCGTAAGCAAAGCTGGACAGGAATATTCTTGTGCCAAGCCCGTGTTTTCCCACAATCAGGAGGCTATGAGTTCGATCCTAGGCAGAGACAGGTATTTCTCTCTCTGGGCATGATGAAAATATCCGCTAAATGTAACTCTGCATCGGGGACAGGAAGGGCATCCGGCCAGTAATCACTCAGCTCCGTTCAATTGCCCAGACTCCACCCCGTCATTAAAAGAAGAAGATAGTCACAGAAGTGGTGAATGCGGGAGACGGCAGACCTGACACAGGCGGTCTTCATTCGCGTTCAGTTCAGCCATTTACCATAAATTCCTCTACTATCTTTTGACCCCGTGCAAAATTACTCACTTTTGAAACGGGGGGCGTTCTCCGCTTCGACAGCTTGATCTGCTTCTGCTGCGTTTGGTGGGCTGGCACCCCTTGATTTTCTGGAGATAGGCTGGAGAGTGGACTGGTTTTGTTGCCGGCCGCACAGCTGTCCACCAGCAAGGGCTCCCGGGCTTTCTGTGAGGCGAAATATTCCAGTCCGGGCGGTGGGACGGCAGCTGCCTGTGAGGGTGGTGGTTGTTGCTGCCGTTGGGAAAGTTGACTCAGGACTGGCGACGGTTCAGGCTGGGATTTGAAGTCTGGACAGGATTAGCAAGGGAAAAAAACCATGGAAAAACCATCATCAACCCTCACTTAAGCAACACCTGAGAGCAGAGGTAGGGAACAATGGCCTTTTTCTGACTTGTGGACTGCAACTCCCAGGATTCCTAAGCCAGCTGAGGAATTCTGGGAATTGAAGTCCAGAAGTTTTTAAAAGTTGTTGTGATGACCCGGGACATGGCACAAAAATAACAAAGTCACAAAAGTAGATAAATTCCCTTTAATATCTCCAGCTTGGCCCCCAAAGTCCAGTTATCCTCAGCTGGAGATCAAACTCTTCCAAAAACAGTCCACAAAGGGAAGAAAAGCAGTACGAACCCAAAGGACAGATAAATTAAAAATAAAAAAACCCCAACACAAACCACCCTGATAAAGATAAGATAACAAAGCACCCACAGTTGGGAGAACACCGAAATTCAGATAATCCTCGACAAAGATAATGCCCGCTTTGCTTCCAGCAAGGTGTTGTGTGCAAACGCCCCACTTATATCCTATTCTCCCAGCTGCAACTAATGAAGGGGATCAGGGCCCTTTTCTCTCCCATAAGCCATGTTGCTCCCTTCTCCATTTCTCCCTGCGTGCCCTAGGATGAAGAGGGGGTCTTCCTTTGAATGCATAGCTAGACTGTGCCCTTCCTCCCTTTCTTCCACAGCCATCAGAGTCACACTCCCACTCCCTGTCAGCTCCTCAATCTCCCCCTCAGAATCAGACTCCACCAAGGGCATGACAGTTGTCAAAGTTTGGAGACTGGTCCGTAAGCTTAGGCCTGCCAGCCTCAACTCTCGCTCAAACTTCCTAACAGTGAGGACAATTAACCAGCGGAACAGCTTGATTCCAGAAATTGTGGGTGTCCAGGTTTTCAAGAAAAGAACTAAGAGCCAGTTGTCCAGGATATAAGATCTCATGGCTTGGACAGGGGGTTGGACTAGAAGACCTCCAAGCTCCCTTCCAACTGTTACTCTTACTTTTACTGAGAACAATTAACCAGTAGAAGTCTTCAGATGTTGTGGGTGCTTCCTCATTGGAGGTTTTTAAGAAGAGACTGGACCGTCACTTGTCTGAAATGGTATAGGATCTCCTCCTTGAGCAGGGGGCTGGACTAGAAGACCTCCCAAGTCCCTCCTAGCTCTATTCTGATGCTGATTCAGGAATTCTGGGAGTTGAAGTCCACAAGTCATAAAAGGGCCATCGTTCCCCACCCTCACCTTAATCAATGATCGATCTTTTGATTTTTAAAAAATGTGATAAGTCCCTCAGTTATCTATATGTGAATTGGACAGCCATATAAACCCAACAATCTGGGTCCTCGTTTTACCCACCTCGGAAGGATGGAAGGCTGAGTCAACCTTGAGCCTGGTGAGATTCAAACTGCCAAATTGCTGGCAGCTGGTAGTTAGAAGAAGTGGCCTGCAGTACTGCACTCTAACCACTCCGCTATCATGGCTCTATATCTATCTATCTATCTATCTATCTATCTATCTATCTATCTATCTAT